GGGGGGGGGGGGGGTACATACACATGGGAGAGAAAAGACTCACCTTGACAAAAGATACTAGTTCCACCTCGAAGTAAACCGTCGAGTTGGGTGGTACCACGTCCAATTCTTGCTGTGATTCAGATGAACCAAAGGCATACTGCGGCGCAATGGTGAGGAGTGTCACTTCACCCTTCTTCATGTTCATCACAGCCCTATCGAGCCCTTCAATTACTTGCTCTGTCCACCATTCCACATGTCGTCACAGCATGGTTTCCAGCATAACCGTCAGGAGCACCAAACAAGCATCCAGTTTCTAGATCCCTTACCTTCATCTGTCTTGAACTCAAATGGCTCCTCGCCTTCTCCATGTCCTTTCTTCAAGAACACGGTACCATCTTGAAGCTTCCCGAGCAACTTCACTGCGATAAACATCCAGCAGAGGAACGGATACGTCAGATCTCACCAGTTTAATGGTTAGCAGACTTAACCCATCAGATTTTCGAAGAAACAAACCTTTCACGACAGCTCCATCATTAGGACGGTCGTACCCTTCTCCTTCCTTTAGGATCTTCTTGATGACTTTCTTGTCATCGGTAACTTCTGAGACAGTCTTCCAAGAAACCAGCTCAAGATCGATCTGAAGAGTAGCATTTGGTGGGACGGCAGCTTCACCAACAGCTGCTGGCTTTCCGCTCTCCCCAAAGCCATCTGCGTTGTTAAGGATGGCAATTAAGACATCATGTAAACTCGATTAGATTAACCCCAAAATAAGTGCATCAAACTTACATTGTGGCTTCACAGATAGGAGAACTTTTTCCCCCTTCTTCATGGTTTTGACGGCCTTACCAAGTGCAGTACAGAAATGACCTGTTTCAGCGGCATATCCGACTTAGTCCGCAGATCAAAACTACGCAGATAGATAACATACGGCTTTCAGTAATGGGAAAAATAACACTAACCCTCCTTGAGAGTGAACTCTACACCATCAGACTTTCCAACAACAGTGCCATCCTCTAGTCGAGCTTCATACTTAACTGCAACAGTATCAACCCAGTAAGCACATCAGCGTCGCCAATAGTGATCAAGATGGTATAGATCACAGTCATTTGCATATAAATCACACCTAATACTTCGTCAAGGTCCTTCGGGTTCTCCCATTTCTCTCCTTCAACAACTACTTTCTTGAATATCCCACCATCGCGGCATATGTCCTTGACACTAACCCAAGAAAGCAACTCAACATCAAACTGAAGCATTGCATTCGGAGGGATTGTTGGCGGTGAACCGGACTCTCCATATGCAAGCTCGGGAGGAATGGTGAAAACGACATTTTCACGTTTCTTCATGGTCTTGATCCCAATGTCCCATCCCTTGATGACTTGCCCTGAAGCAATATAACCAACGCAGATCAGGGCAAAAATCCAAAGAAATTCAGAACGCAAGCAACCGTATATTCATCAAAATTCTTGATAGAATTAGCCGCAGCTTCATACACCCAAAAAAAAAATAATTAGTCAATCATAAGGCCAATTTTGCAGCAACAAACGAAGTAATGTTCATCTCCATTTTCTCCACAAACTCGCATGATCACACACCATACAGCAAGAATGCAATATGTCATCCATCATCTGATGTTACAGACTAAATCATCGGAACAACTGCAACCTCGTCATAAAGCAGATTACAGAATCTTTCAAGAAATCTATACATGATCAGCCGAACACCGTCCTGTTCTACACCAACAGAACAAATTAAAACACCCAGAGCAAGTAACGGAACAAACCAACAACTCACCTTGTCCGAGAGTGAATTTGAAAGGAGTTCCTCTGTCTCGGCTAGAGTCGAACTTGGTTCCATCCAACAAGGTTCCCGTGTAATGCACTACGGAAGACATGACGCAAATCCGAATCAGAAACAAGTGCACGGGACAAGCATCAAATCAGTGGGGGAAAATTAAGCACAGAACAAGTAATAGTGCGGAATACCTTCGACTTCATCACCATTGTCAGGAGTGTCCCATCCTTCACCTTCCTTGACGAGTTTCTTCTTCAAGCCTTGCTTCCCGATCTCCTTCTCCTCGCCGACCTTCATGTAAGGAGCCACATCGGCATCGACGTCATCGGCGAAATCCATCTCCTCGTCGTTCATCTCCTCCGCCGCAGGCAGGTCGAAATCCTCATCCATCTTCGATCGAACAGCGAATTAGCCAAGCACAAATCTGGAAAGGATGACAGTAGAGAACTCTAGAGAGAGAATCAAAGCACACAAGTCGATCGATTAAGAGAGAGAGGGGAAACAGGGCATTTATAACGTGTGAGAGTGGGGAGAGGGGAGAGTCTAGAGAGTTCTGAAATATTTTCAGTTGAGGGATGCGTCCCGATGCTTCCAGAGAGACCGTTGCTCAATTAGCGCGGGTCTCACGTCCCTGTTATATTATATTATATGCTTATTTCAAAATTTTATTTTTAATTTTTTTTACTACCCAATAAATTTATAAATCAGATTCTTGAAAGAAAAAAAAAAAAGAAAAGAAATCCGCCAACCATTTTAGTCTTGAAAAGAACAAAGCTTTCGTTCAATCGATTTTACGAATTTTAACATCAAGAGAAGAGACTAATTAGATGAAAAATGTAACATTTTTTGTATTTATTTTATTTTTTATCGAGCATATCGAGATGATAATGATTTCAAAACTTAGCATATAATATACGACGAGTACGTACTCATATAATAGAATGAAAACTTTAGGTTAAAAATTCTCAATATACGTATCTACACTACACGATTGTAATTATACGTATCTTTGATTTGTGCTTTACGTCAACAGTCCTGGATCGATCAAAAGAAAGCCCAACGGAACAAACCCAGCACGGTTGTTATTCTCATAGGCCCAATAACCATTTGACCTTCTCTTTTATGGGCCCAGTCAACCACGTCTTTTTTTTATATGCAATTTTTAGAGTAATTATAAATTTTAACATTTTATTTACGGTTTTTATCCAAACACAAATAACATTTCCATTAGGGATTTTTGGAAATGGTTCGATTTTACAAAAATATGTCTCGATCGATTGTTACATCATATTCATTTCGTTCGGTTACAATTTTTATTAAAAAATAAATAAATATTTTGAACAAAGTTTTGGGTTTTTGGATTTTTTTTTTTAAAATTCGATTTTTTAAAAATAGTACCATTCGCATTTTTTACGGTTCAAAAGTAGGGATGATGTATTTACAGTATATTGTCACATCATACTCTATTGAGCAGTCAGTCCATTGTCCCTTTTTTTTTTTGTTGGCATCTCAGACAAATTTTTTTTATTGCATTGATGTAAGACGACCGTTGGGTACCAGTGGCTCCTGCAGAAAGGCACTGTGCAACGGCATTAGTATACCCTTTCCCATTAGTCATCCTTCGTTTATATATTTATTTTCAAATTTTTAAAATTTCATAATTTTTTTTTACAGTATTGCTCTATTTTTTTTTTATCACAGCCATGTGGATCATTGTTGTTAGAGGAAACATCTCAAAAGTAAGAAAGATTGATAGAACCGTACGGTCCCATTTTTTTTTTATCACTTTCTTTTTTACTTTTTCTTTTTACATTTATGATATTCGTTTTTCTGTCAACAGTCACTAATCTCCACAGTCAGACGCTCATAAAATCCATAGCCATATATATACATACATACATACATATATATATATATACACGATATATAGCCAATCCAATTAAATGCATATACATTAAGGATAATTTCGAAATATTATAAAGTTTTTATAACGTTATACGCAATAAAAGACTATTACTTTAGAAGGATTGGTAAGCCACAAATGGTGTAGACATATTATTATCCCATTTAAATGTTTCAGTTGTTTATATAATCTAGTTTTTTTTAATGCACTTAACACTTACATATACGTGCACATATATATAGAAATGTACACAAGCTCGTACATACGTATGCATACATACATACATGTATGCATACATACATACATACATACATACATACATACATACATACATACATACATACATACGCATGTGTTGGCAGAGTTCTTTTATCTACTTTTGAAAAGATGAAAAAAGTGAAAACGAATAAATAAAATTGAAAAAGGTTGATATTCCATCGGGAGGCATATTTAGTCATGAATCAGCTCAATCACCATGATACGTTTAGTCGCCGTATTGTTCAACTTCCGATTCACCCTGCATGCATTTAAACTATTTATGAATCTATGATTATTTAACATTCGTTATGGAAATAAACAATTATATTTTATTATATTATTATGACGACGAAAATCGTATAGTTAAAAAAATCTTAGTTGACTGAATCGCATAAATGCAAACCAGTGAGAAATATGACATTATTTGTTAATTTTTTAAAATTAATGTTATCATTTTAACTTTTCGAAAACTCTTCGACATTTTTAAATATATACTCGCCTCGTCTCTCCCAATCCCAGAACCCATCCCCTGCTCTCTTTAACTCTTCCGCAGACGTGACTTCCTCTCTCTCTCTCACTTCTCCGACAAATCTCCGAATCTCTCTGTTTCTTCATTGGTTCAGACAAGAAGACGAAGAAGGAGAGACTTCATCATGGGTCTCCTCCATCTCCTCGCATTCTCTCTCCTCCTCTCTGTTTCAGGTAATTGCTATCTCTCTCTCTAAGGCCGCCATTAATGGCGACTTCTTCAGTTCCCTTCTTACAGACTATCTCATCCGTTTTCAGGAGCCAAGTTCTCCGGCCGACCAGGCGTTAACTACGGCCAGCTCGGCAACAACCTCCCGTCCCCGACCGAATCGGTCAAGCTCATCAAGTCCCTGAACGCGACACGTGTCAAGATCTACGACGCCAATCACTCTATCCTCAAGGCCCTCAACGGCACCGATATTGCCGTCTCCGTCATGGTTCCCAACGAGATCATCGTCAACGTTTCAAAGTCCCAAGCCCAATCCGACGACTGGGTCCGAAACAAGATCCTACCTTTTTACCCGACCACCAAGATCCGATACCTCCTCGTCGGCAACGAAGTCCTGTCTAATCCCGACCCGGCACTCAGATCCGGTCTCGTATCGGCAATGTGCAAGATCAAGCACTCGCTGAAGCGATTTGGTGTCCACAAGGTCAAAGTCGGTACCACACTCGCCATGGACGTGCTCCAAACCTCGTACCCACCATCGAGCGGGGAGTTCCGACCGGATATAGCGGGTCGGGTCATGAAACCGATGCTCCAGTTCCTCAACAAGACCAAATCTTTCCTCTTTGTGGACGTGTACCCGTACTTCGCCTGGTCACAGGACCCCAAAAACATCAACCTCGATTACGCCTTGTTCGAATCGGAGAACATCACAGTCACCGACCCGGTCACGAACTTGACCTACCACAACCTCTTCGACCAAATGGTCGACGCCTTCGTCTTCGCCATGAAACGAATCGGATACCCTGAGATTCGGATATGGGTCGCCGAAACGGGTTGGCCCAACAACGGAGACTACGACCAGATCGGAGCCAACATCCACAACGCCGCGATTTACAACCGCAACGTCGTCAAGAAACTCACCGCCGATCCACCTGTCGGAACACCAGCCCGACCTGGTCGGGTCTTACCCTCGTTCATATTCTCACTCTACAACGAGAATCAAAAACCGGGTCCGGGTACGGAGCGGCATTTCGGGATGTATCACCCGAATGGGACACGGGTCTACGACATAGATCTGTCGGGGAAGAGGACGGAGTACGAGGATGTTTTGCCGGAGCCGGAGAACAACGAGCCGTACAAGGGGAGGATATGGTGCGTGGTGGCTAAAGGAGCGAACTGGACGGAGCTGGGTGAGGCCCTATCGTACGCCTGCTCGCAGGGAAATAATACCTGCGCCCCGATCCGACCTGGTGGCGAGTGTAGTAAACCCGATTTGATCGTGTTGCATGCGAGCTATGCGTTCAGTTCGTATTGGGCTCAGTCTAGGAAGAGTGGTGCGACTTGTTTCTTCAACGGTCTCGCCACCCAAACCATTAAAGATCCAAGTAAGTTTTACCTTTTGATCTAATTTAATTATATACACACAGGATTTAAGAATATGATTATTTCTAAAATTCGATTAAAATCGTATATGTGGTTGTATGTCGTTTTACCAGGTTACGGACGCTGCGAGTTCCCGAGCGTGACGTTGTGAGAAAACAGCAGGATGTTCGTGTTTATTGACTAGAAACGGCGTGTTGTTGTGGGGCGCTTCTTCTATTCCCAATTTATTCGAGAAACAAATAAATAAAATAGGAATATCAAGTCTTAGGTGACTAAAGGTTGACTTTGGATTCATGAGATTAAGTGAGTCGAATGCCTATTTAACCTCTCTTGTTATAAAAAAAACACTATTCCTCTAACAAAAAGAAAATAAGAGGAAAAAAGAAACTTTTGTGTTCTAGAAGTCTCCCTCGTAGAAAAATTAAAAAATTAAATTTTATAATGTCCTGTATATAAAGCCTTTTATTTTCATAAACCATATATTATAACAAATGGTACCTATGAAGTATATACTTAGCAGAAGTACTATTGTAATATGATTGGCGGTCTTTGTATTAAACAATAATATATGATAGAAATACCTATTCAAGTGTCATTAGAACCCCATAGAAACAATCTAGCAGACGTATCTTAAAACATACAAAACTCGTTGACTATCACGTTGTATACCTTATATACATATTTTGAGAATTTTAAAAATATATAGTTATTATTAAATATTAAATTATTATTTTATGATTATTATAAATCTCGTAAGTAATTATTAGATATTATATATAGACTTGTTCGTTTGACAAGACCCTTAACTTATTTGGTACATTCAAATATTCAACATGCCACCAGTCATTCATTATGGTACTTGTATATATGCATTCATATACATATGTAAAGTATCTTATTCCATAATTGGAAAATCTGTCAATTAAGAAGCATTTAAGTCTTACATATGTTTTTTTCTCTAAAGGCCTACATAATTAGTCATAACAGGCTAGGCAACAAACGTAGATATCTATCTAAATCATTGGTCACGTTTATATATATAGAAAACAATTTTTTTTTAAATATAATAGAATACGGATATTTTCTCTTTCATAAACTATATGGATCAAGATATTGCGATTAGATTTTTAAGTTCTGGTTACAAATCAAATTTTTATTATTGAATCTCTTGTAATTTAAATGAAAATTTTCTTAACCTAAATTTGAATTTAGCGTTGTCATGAGAATTTATAATATATGTCTTTAATTCCAAATAATTTATAAATTTAACATCCAAAATAGTGTTAGAAACTCTAAAAAATTTTCTTTTATGGGTAGACCCTAACTTCAATTAAAGTCACCTCCAATTCATATATTTATTTTCAGAAAGTATGATTCTACTGCAATTTTTCCCCGGGAATTCACGATTCTGCAAAATATATATATATATATATATATGATGGTCCCTAATAATCACATATGAATTTCAAACAAACTATATAATATAAATCCTTGAAATACCTAATCTAATATAATCGAATCATGCCGCTTCACTAGTCAACTTGTCCTTGGTATCAATCATAACTACAAGACAAAGAAGTGCCCACTGAAACCATTTTCCAGATTTTAATCCAAATTAAATTATTAATTGAATAAAACGATATTCTCCCTCAGTCCTTGCCTTATCCAACCCTTCTTCCTCCTTCCCTCTCTCTCCACAATCCCAAACTCTGCGATCAGAAATCTAGGTTTTTGGCTTCTCTTTCCATGGACACTCGTCTATCCCACCAGATATCCCTCCCGCTTCTCCCCACTCGCCGCGATTCCAAAGGCTTCGGCGTTTGCGCGCTACCCTCGCGACGGTTGCGTTCGGCGGCGGTTGTTGCTACGGCTGGT